TGTCCTGGAACTTGCTATGTAGACCAGGCTGGCCTCAGACATCCTGCTCTCTTCAAGCACTGGAATTAAAGGCATGAACCACCATGCTTGGCCTGATTTAAAACTTGTTCCTTATTGTTATATAGAATAGCAACTGATACTGACTTTGTATCTTACTACTTTGATGAAAATGTTTATTTAGATCTAAGAGTTTTTTGGTGGTATCAGGGTCTTTTAAGTATACGATCAGTCTGTAAATAGGGATAATTGGGCATCTTCCTTTGCTGTGTGTATCCTTTATTTCTCTAGATTAACAATTCAAGAACTACTCTGGACAACAATGGAGAGAATAGACATATTTTTCTTTTTAAAATTGTTTGTCATACTTATTTTGGGGTGACTTGTGCTTGCCATAGGGGGCCAGTGGGCAGAGGACAACTCTCAAGAGTCGTTTCTGTCCTTCTACCACATGGGTCCCAGGGATTGAATTCAATTTGTCAGGCTCAGTAGTAAGCACCTTTACCTGCTGAGCTATCCTACTAACTAGACATTGTTTTCCTATTCCTGAATTTACAGGGAATGCTTTCAATTTTTTCCTCATTTAGTATAGTATTTGCAATAGGTTTCCTGCATATAGCCTTTTTTTATTATTTTTCCATTTTCATGTGTGGTGTGCAAGTGTGTGTACGCATGTTTGTATGTATAGGCACATATGTCTGAGTCAGTGCAAAAACACATGGGTGCACATGCATGTAGAGATCCAAAGTTGATGTAAGGAATCATTTCTCATCACTCTTCTACCTTATTCATTGAGGAAGGATCTCTCAATCAAACTTGAGTTCACTTATAATGCTAGTCTCACTAGCCAGTTTCTCTAGGGATTCCATCTCCACTTTCCAAGTATAGAATTACAAGAGGAGCTGGATACACACACACACACACACACACACACACACACACACACACACACACACACACACACCTCAGAGAATTTACAAGAATTCTGGGGATCTGAACTCCTGTCTTCACACTTGTATGGTAAGTACTTTAACCATCTTCCTAACCCTTAGTTTTAAATTACATTTATTTATGTTTGTGTGTGCATGTGGTCAGGAGACAACTTTCGGGAGTTCTCCCTGTTGACCAGGCAGATCCTGGAGGCTGAAATCTGGTAGTCAAGATTGGAGGGAAGTGCTGTTACTCAATGCTGACTCTCTTACTATAAGGTATGGTCCTTCTAGACATAGTTGCTTCAGGACATTACCATGAAAGGGTATTGAACTTTGTCAAATGTATGTATCTATTGAGGTGATCATGTGATTTCTGTCCCTGATTCTATTTATGTACTAAATTAATTTACTGATTTGCTTGTTTTGAACCATCCTTATATCCTTGGAATAAAACTAACTTGAAAAACAAAACAAAACAAAACAACAACAACAAAAATAACTTGATTGCCAGTGGTAGTGGTGCACAGCACTCAGGAGACAGAGACAGGCAGATCTCTGTGAGTTCAAAGCCAGCCTGGTCTACAGATCGAGTTCCAGGACAGGCAGAGCTACACAAGGAAACTCTGTCCTGAAAAACAAAAATAAAAACCTAACTTGATCATGTTGTAAGATGTTTTTAATGCGCTATGAAACTCAGTTTGCAAGTATTTTATTGAAAAAATTTGCACCTATGTTCATACAGGAAACAAGCACTAAAACACTAAAAGTTGTGAGGAAAGGTCAAAAAGAAAATGATGAATACAGGGGGAGCCAGAAAAGTGTGACATTTTCAGGAGTCCTAGTTAAATCTGAATGGGACAACAACAAATGATGGAAAATAGTAAATAGTAGAATATAATATAAAGGGCAGGCTGGCGCCAGATAATATATAGGAATACACGGGAATATTCGAGGGACAAACTTCCCAGAGAGTAAGACAAAGAATGACCTGAAGCTGTGACACAAACAAACAACCAAAGTGGCAGTCAACTGAAAATAAAAAGCAATGTGGAGGCTACCTCAAAAAACTCCAAGAGGCAGAAAGCAGTGGCCTTGGGAACTAAAATCTAAGACCTTGCAGAGTTGTATAAATGATTTGAAGTAAGGATTTTATATTTATTTGGTACGCATAAAAAATTACTCATTTACTCCTAATTAGAAGGAATATAGTCATCATAGCCTTTTAGTTTTTCATTCTGTCCCGGAAATTGCTAAATATTTCTACTAGATAGTGGGAACAAAGACAAGCTTCCCATTAAATGGATTTTAACAAATATATTTTGGGGAATCAAACTATGTTTGTAAAACTATTTTGAATATAATATACGTATCTCTAAACTCCAACTTAAAATAGAAAGTTCTAATAAATGTGTGGAAAATGTTTTTTCCTATGAAAATAAAAATAGACGCATATACTGATTAAAAACATGCTTAATCACAACATAGCATCTAGTCAGCTAACAATCTTAAAAACTCCTTTGACCCCAGTAATTACCAAACTCTTTTTACAGTATTACTGAACAATATAAAGCTGAAAAATTTACAGATGAACCCAACTCTGAATATAAAGGTGAGTTAAGGTAAAAAAGCAAAACAAACAATAACCTAAGCTTAAGGCACAAGAGAGCTAATACAATGGCTTAAAGAACAAAGTGTAAGCTTATTTCTTTCATGTTCTGAGATAAAAGGTCTCAGTTGGTGGTAGAGCTGTTTCATGAAGCACTCACAGGCCCAAAGTCCTTCTGGCACATTGTTTCACCCCCGCCCTATGATACTGTTATTTAGACTGCTATTTAGACTAGGACTGAAGAGAAATGATCTTGAGTTCCAACTGGGAAGCAAGTCAGCCATCTTCAAGCCTGCCTTGGAAGGGGCACTCACTACTGTCAGCACTTTGCTGACAGGAACCTGATGCAATCAACCTGAGCCATGCACACACCTCTGTACCTCAGAAAGGAAGTCTGGATTATAATAGGATAGATAATTAATCTCTGACAAAAAGGTCTTTGAAGCAATATAAAAATGTCTTCATTGCGAAGTTAGTTGTAATAAAAGCCAGGATAGTGGTGACCTTTGAGCAAGCAGAGGATTTTGAAAAAAATTTTGAGATTATAGCAATGTAAGCAGTAATTTTCACTAGGCTGGGCAGCCAGTGAATTCCCAAGCTCTACCTGCCTTTACCTCCAATGCTGCAATTACAGACATATGTGGCCTTGCCTGGCTGGCTTCTTTACTTGAGTACAAGGGATTCAAACTCAGCTGCTCAAGCCTCTTTTCCACTGAGCCATCTCTCCAGCCCCAAGTGCCACTGTCCTTTAACTGAGAAACTGTGTTTATAGACAGCATTTGTGCTAATACTTGGCAATACTCTCAAAGATTTCATCTCAATATCCTAACTCAATATGACTTATTTTGTAGAAAATAAACAAACTACAAGTTACTGGCTTTGCTAGTTAAAAAACCCTAATGTTACAAACCTTTCAGCTATACCTGTGCCTGAGAGTATATGCCACAGCTTTTTAGTATTATACATTATAAATCCACATACAAAAACCTATTCCTCTGATACCCAGAATTTAGACATTTTATGGCAGTATATTATAATGACAAACACGTCTCTAATGACTATATATAACAGCAAAAACAATTACAAATTCAATAATCTAAGAGTCAAGCAAGAGGCATTAGGAAAGAGCTCATCTTCTTAGAGGATACTAGAACACCTGGAACAAGGAAGAGTGTGATGTTAAAGCTATGGAGTTAAGGGACTTTGAATTTATAAGTAATTTAGTCACAATCAATAGGGAAGGGAGGGTATTGGAAACCACTTCTTTTGTAGGCAATGGAAATCCCTACAAAATATAGTTCTAGGGAATAATTTTATTACATTCATTTCACTTTTAAGTCTGTTTTTAAAATAATTAACATTCAAGACAATAAAAGGCTCATAAAATTACTTACTCTTTGTACTCTCTCCCTCATTCTTATACTCCATGAAATCACCTGAACGCATAGCACACATAATCTTCTGGGCAACAGTGGAGAGGGGTGTCCCACAGAGATCAAAACCTACACATGCCTCATAATTTTCCATTTTCATAAAGTCCTAAATATAAGATAAGTACCCATATATTAATTTTAAGACTTTAAAAGGACTTCTGTATATCTTCATTTAAAAGGTATTAATAACTACAGGAAACAGGTTTTGATTATAACACAAATAGAATGGAAAAATAAGAAGTGAGGCCTGTTGGTGCAAGCTGAATTAGGAGGCTGAGGTAGGACACAATTCAAGCCTGCCTAGGCTACTGAACAAGTTCAAGAACAACTGGGCAGATCAGTAAGACCTAATCACAAATTTTTTTTTTTTTTAAAGTGTGGGCATGGGGTTCAGTGGTAGAGCATTTGCTTGGTATGTGTAAATTCTAGCTTTGATTCCCAGTGCTACAAATCAAAACAAACCAGAGGCTCATCTGAGGGATCATGATAAACATATAAAAAGTACTTTCTAATTAACCAATTATGAAGTGAGCAGTCTACTTAAATACTCCTCAGTTCTGGAAGCTGGCTATTAATTTTCAAGCATACGACTCTGACAATACAGTAATTAAAACTGACTTGGGTCATCAAGGTAAACAAATAACCTGCCATCTTGGTAATGACACATTCTATTGGTCCCCTGGCTGAGTATGTAAATGTTTAGGTGGAAAATACAGAATAAATAACTGGTTCATATAGCTAAATTACCTGGCACCCACCAGGAAAGCAATTAACACATTTTCCTACATTATTTGAGAAAAGAAAAACTTAAATGCCTTATCTCTGGACATTCAAATGAACAGCTGACAGTTAAATCTTTTGTTTTTTTTGGAGGGAGGGGGGTTTGTTTTGTTTTCGAGACAGGGTTTCTCTGTTTAACAGCTCTGGCTGTCCTGGAACTCACTTTGTAGACCAGGCTGGCCCCAAACACACACAGATCCACCTGCCTCCGCCTCCTAAGTGCTGGGATTAAATGAGTGCGCCACCACTGCCTGGCCTGACAGTTAAATTTTATGACAAAATTTAATGTCAAAGTTTTTTTCAACTACAATAGGTTCACCTAACAAAAATAAATTTATGTAACATGATACAATAATTGACAAAAATGCATTTGCTTGATGGATTATAAAAATACAGTGCATGACCATTTTCTGTCTATAGTTTTATCCAAAAAATGTCCATAAAACATAAAATATGTAGTTTTTAAGACTGGTAAACCATATCACAAAGGTAAAGAATATTCTTAGAGGCATTTCTTATAGCTGAACTCTTACAGTATTTAGTATTTGACACAGACATATCATAAAATGATCTCTTTGGGAACATTTGATAAAATAACTGATAAGCTGACGAGTGTGGTGGTATATACTGATAATCCCATCATGGTCAAGGTAGGATCATGAATTAAAGGCCAATCTGGGCTACAAAAATTTAAGACCTTATCTTAAAAAAGAGAATTTAAAAAAACTAAAAAGCCACTTCAAATCTTTAAAATAATTGTCCAACATTTTCTTTCCTAAGAAAGTGATTTAAATATGTATCATAAATCCTTTAAGCAACCACTTGTACATAATTTTGAAACTTAAATTTCAAATTTCATTACTTATATCACACTGGTTAAAGCTCTAATATGGGCCACCAGACCCCAGTCCTTAAAATGGAAATGCTCAAACTCTGGTACAAGGAGACACATTTAAACTTCTCAAAGGTTACAATAGAGAATTAGAGGAAAATACTTTGAGCAGCAGAATTTTATAATACAACACACTGGTTATTGAATATACAATAGTATGATTTTACCAACAGAAGATAAAATTCAAAAATTCAGTGAAACTGCACATAGTACAGAAATCTATGTATCTGCTAGCTATCAGGCATTAAGTGACTAGTAAAAAAGGTCAAGTATGTAGCATACATACACTGAACAAAGGTATAACACATCCCAGGGTTTCAGAGTCCACAACATACATAGGAAAGCATACAACTTAAAGTTTCTGTGACTTTTGAAATTCAGTGTTTTCAGATCACAGTTGACCTCAGATAACTAAAACCTTAAAAAACAAAACTCAAAATTCTACAAACTTTTGAAACACTCAATAGAAAACACCAATTTAAGGAGATTTAATTATATTTAAAATATTTGTGTAACATGCTTTCTTCCTGCAAGTAAAAATTTGCCAAGATTAAGTGGCACCATGCAAACAGGTTATGAGAAGGACTTGGTAGTATGCCTGACGTGGTGGTGTTAATCTCAGCACTGGAGAGGTAAAAGCAGGCAGATCGATTAAGTTCAAGCCAGTCTGGCCAGCCAGTGCTACAAAAGTGTAGTACTTCTACTGTCAATGGTTACATGGGTTAAAAACCAATGTCACGAACTGAATAGCCCCTAACTTAAACGAGTGGGACCAAACTGTTTCAGATATTTTAATTTTTGTATATATATAATTAGATATTTTAGGGACAGAACCCAAGTCAAAATGTGAAATTCATTTATATTCAGACAAGTTTTATACACATAAGACTGAAGGTAGTTTTATAATTTATGTTTTTTTTGTTTTTGTTTTTGGAGACAGGGTTTCTCTGTAGTTTTGCGTCTTTCCTGGAACTCACTTTGTAGACCAGGCTGGCCTCAAACTCACAGAGATCCACCTGCCTCTGCCTCCCGAGTGCTGGGATTAAAGGCGTGTGCCACCACCGCCCGGCATAATTTATGTATTTTGTGACTCTGACTTGTCATGTAAGATCAGATGTAGAATTTTTCACTTGAGAAACATCCCAGTTGTTTATAAAGTTTCAGAGTATTTAAAAATTTCAGATTAGGGAAGTTCAACTTGACACTGAATCTATTAAAATGTTCTGTTGATCTTAAATTTATAAACTTAGCACTGAGGCTGAAGAGACGGGTTAATCACGGCCACCAAGACTGATGACCTGATTTCCATCCCTACAGCTTCTGTGGTAGAAGGATAACACGATTCCTGCAAGACATTCTCTTACCTTCACATATTCATCATGGTACACACTAATGTACATACACGCATCCCTCCCCCTCATAAATGTAAAAGAAATTTATTTTCCTTATTAGTTTATTAGTGTTTATTAGAAATAGCCTCCTAATACTTAAATCGAAACACAGCAAGCATCGTAAAGATTCAGTTTTTAGAAATCTTCAATCTTTAAGACCAGAGGCCTTAATCTTTGACTGGTTTTCTAAATTTTCCACAACATCTTTCAGATAGTCTTCATCTTTAAAAAAATATACATATAATTCTCTTTCCACTTGATGCAATTTATTAGTTGCCAAAATTTTTCTTTTTGTCTTCACATCAGCAAGAATATCAGTAAGGAGATGATTTAGTTTATTCAACTTAGATTCAACTCGATGAAAGTGCTCCATTAACTCCTGTAGGGGAGAAAAAAAGCTTTATTTCAAGAACTTTATCCCTAACACCAACTAAAAACTTTAAATATAACTTAAAAGGAAATTTTATTGATTTAATAAATTCTCATAATCATAATAAAAAGCCATATTTGGCTGGAGTGATGGAACATACTCTTAATCTCAACACTTGAGAGACAGAGGCAGGAAGATCTCTTAGTTTCGAGGACAGTCTGATCTGCATAGTTAATTCCAAGCCAGCCAGGGCTACATAGTGAGATCCTATCTTTAAAAAAAGAACTAAAGAAACAAAAAGATAGGGCTGAAGAGATGGCTCAGTGGACAAAAGTACTTGCTATTAAGCTTGATGACCCAAGTTTGATCCTCCAAATGTACATGTTTGAAGCAAACAACAGACCCCCAATTGTCCTCTGATCTCTAGACAGGTGAGCACCCCTCCACACAAAATATAAATAAATGTAATAAAAATTTTTAAAAAGAAAACTAACCCTTAAAAGGTTGGGCATAATGGTGCTCATGCTTGTGATCCCTGCAGTAGGAAAGTTGAGGCCAGACTGGGATACACATTTTTTTCAGATCTTACCATATCTGAAATGAAGAGGCATCTTATCATAGAGACCATCATGTGGTGGCTATTGATGGTCAAGCACTCTTTTCAGGTAAGCACGGTGGCTCACATCTGTAATCCCACCACTTGAAGACAAAGGAAAGAAGACTGCTACAAATCTATGTAGCAAGTTCCAGACCAGCAAGGGCTACATGGTGAGATTCTGTTCCGAACAAAACAAAAGTTTTCCCTAATATTCTTGATGTAGAAAAGTGTGTCAACTGTGAATCACAAAATAATTTAGAGCAATTCGGAATTAAGCATGAGGCTTTAGAAGTAGTCTCATTTTAATTGGCTTATTTTCTCCCTTTAAAATATGCTCAACAGTAACACAATGATGGGCTAGAGACACCTCAGTAGATAATGGCACCTACAGCCAAGCCTGACAACCATAGTTCAATCTATGGAAAAATATGGTAGAAAGAAGGAAACCAACTTCTACAAATTGTCTTGATTTCCACTTATGCATCATGGCACCCCCACATAACACACAAATAAAAGTGTGAGTTAAAAAAAAAACAAAACAGGCAGATCTCTGTGAATTCAAGGCCAGCCTAGTGTACAGAGTGAGATCCAGGACAGGCACCAAAACTACACAGAGAAACCCTGTCTCGAAAAACAAAAAACAAAAACAATTAACTTTCAAATTCTGTACACGATATTCAAAATTATCTGAATGTGTATGAGGCGTTACAAAAAAAACCGTAAGTTTTTATATGGTGGCATATGCCTATAAACCCAGTACCCAGGAGATTTTGAGGTGGAGACCAGATAGACTACACAGCAAGACCCTTCTCTCTAAATAAATAAATTTTATATTAGTGTAATGAGATAGGGTAATCTTTTCTTCATGATATTTTCTTTTAAAAGAAACATCATTTTTTAAAGATGTTATTTTTTTATTTGAATAAGTATTTTTGCTTGCATGTGTGTATGTGTACCACATGTGTGCCTGATAACCACAAAAGCCAAGGATGTCAGAACCCCTAGAACTAGAGTCACAGATGGTTGTGTGCCACCATATGGGTGCTAGGAATGAAACATGGGTCCTCTACAAGAGCAGCAAATGCTCTTAACTACTGAGCTAGCTCTCCAGCCCCTTACAATAAGCATAATTTTTTAAAGCATTTTAAATTTCCTAGGTAAAACACTCACCTGATCACAAAGCAATAGCTGGTTTCCTCCATGATACAAAGCATCACAAAGCATGTCCACATCGTTATTCAGTTTGGACAGAAAGAAAAAATGCTCTTGAGTAGATACTGCCAACTGATCTTGTATTAGAGAAATATCTTGTTTCAATTTCTCAGCCACTTCCTCCAGGTGTTCATGGGTTATAAACAATTCTTTTTTCTTATTGTCTCCTTTTAAAAGTTGATAAAGCCTAAAATACAAAATTTAAAATTAAATAGAGCAATGTTCATGTTAGTAGTTTTCAAAATTATAACTCATCATATTGAGTCACGGATAGTGATAGCTAAGTAACAACTGAAAAGTAGTTAATTTATGTGTTTCTAATACTGAGCAACTGAAACCATCACAAGAAGCTAAAGTAGGTGGATCACAGGCTCAAGGTACATAGCAAATTCAAGGCCACTGAGACACTATTTCAAAAAAATAAATAATTATTTAAAAGAAATATCTGAATTTCCAGTTTCTCCATCTTCCATATTTTAGATATAAACTTCACCTTGATTTTCAACTGCCATTAGTTTACTTCAAAATGAGCTTCAGTGATATGTCCCAAGAAAACACTTCTTTTACACAACACATCTATGATGTAGCAGTAGCAACAATGACCCAGGGGAAAAAAATCAATCTTTAATGCCTATTTCACAAGACTGTCATGGGAGTAAAAGAGAAAAACTAAAAATGTAAATATTGTAAAATGTAAACAATTAAGATCTATATAAATGGCCACTAACAACAAAACTTCCTACTTTAATTTGTTCAGTATTTTGGTTGGTAAAAATCCTGATAATTAACAAGACCATTTTAACATTTCACTTAATGGCAGAAAAACTCATCAGCCTATAGGACAAGAGAAAAATCTAACATGTTATACCTGCCTTATAAAAAAAGGCTTTTACTTATAATATACATACACCAACATACAGCTTGCTCTCTTCACACACACAAAGCTTAACAGACTGTAAAACTGGTTGAAGTCCAAAGCTGTCAATTACAATCCTGAGAACTATAACTACACAATTACACACTGGCACATTCACATAGATCATGATGCTGACGGTAACCCCTAAAATTAAAACACTGAGGCAACCCTAAGTCATTCATTTTACTAATAAGCAACAAAACGATTTAGAGTATGTTATTCCAACCCTACAGAAAAAATGAGGAATAGGATACAAATGTATGTGTGTGTACATGTGCATGGGAACATGTGCTGTGGAGAGGCCAGAGGTGGATGTTAGGGTCTTCCTCAACTATTCTCTGTCTCCCTTTTTAACAAAGGCTCTCACGAATCTAGAGCTCACCTATTCAGTGAGACTGGATGGCCAGCAAACACTAGGGAATCCTTCTTCCTCTACCTCTCAGTGTAGAGATGACAGGAGTGTACCACAGCACCTGGCTTTGTTATGTAGTTTCTAAGGGATCAAATTCAGGTTCTCAAGCTTATACACAAGCACTTCAGTGACTGCACTATCTCCCTAGCCCTGTCTCCCTGCCAATTGTTTCTTTCTTTAAAATACAAAGTCTCATTGTGCAATTCAGGCTGTCCTAGAATTGTTGCTATGTAGCCCAAGCTGACCTCAAATTCAAGATTCTCCTGCCCCAGCTTCCAGAAACTTAAGGGTATAATCCCATCACCACACAGGATTTAAAACACAAGTGTTTGTTGAATATTCTCATTCTACAGTCCATGATGGCCTCAAACTTAGGATCTTTCTACACCAGCGTTTTAGGCACTAGAATTACAGATAGTGAGCCACTATACTAGGCAGAACACAGACTTCTGAAGTCTACTACTTTAGCCTTCTAGCTCCAGTAGCTCCGCATCATCAATTACTTTAGATATCCAGGAAAGGCCAGCTTTCATTTTGAGTGGTCTACCTCACCAGACAGGGAAATAAAGTCTTCTATTCTACTACCACCTTCCCCAAATACAATCAGCATTATGCCCAGAAATACCTATGATATAAAGCTGTATTCAAATTTCCTGTCCCAAATCTAAAATAAAGTAAACAATGGTGTCTAAGTGGAAGTAAAATATTTTATCTTTTATTCCAACAAACTGACTTCAGCTCTAAAGTGTCTACATTCAGACCTAACATGAACAGAAAGGGAACAAAAAACTTTTAAAAGAAAAGCAGAAAGGTCATTCTAAGTACAAGTTAATTTTTTAAATCTTTGCAATTTCTGTTCAAACTCTCAAGTATTTCACACAAATAAAAAAATATTAAGGAAACAATGACATACATACCTATGAGCAGAATAATCTTTAGCGTCGATGGGAGTCCTGGAGTTTAACTGCTCAGATGCTGATGGATCTGTTAACGTTGCTAATCGCTGACAGAGCACATTTCTTTGACTAAGTTGTTGAACCAAATTTTCAAGTTGCCGATATGTATCCCAATGTCTTCTCAACTCAATTTCATATGATAATTGTACAAGCTCAAATGAAGCCTTCTGCTTTATCAACTGATTTAAAACTAGCTCTTGTCTTGCTGTATAATAATCTTGTTTCGCAATCTGCAGATCAAAATCTCCCTTTACAACTGGCATGTTCAATAACTGGGCATTCTCTTTTACCACAGCAGGCAAAATTTTGTCTTTTATATGAGTGATTTGTTCTTCAAGTTTTAGAATCTCACTGTTCAAGCTAGAAATTTTAGCATCCAAATTTTCTTTACCAATAGCCTATACAAAGAAAGCAATAACATTTTAAACTGTAGGTTTAAATTTTTATTTTAAAATTATTTTCATTTTTTTTTTTTTTTTTTTTTTTTTTTTTTTTTTTTTTTGGTTTTTCGAGACAGGGTTTCTCTGTGCAGCTTTGCGCCTTTCCTGGATCTCGCACTGCAGACCAGGCTGGCCTCGAACTCACAGAGATCCGCCTGTCTCTGCCTCCCGAGTGCTGGGATTAAAGGCGTGCGCCACCACCGCCCGGCTATTTTCATTTTTTATTTTAGGTGGCCAGATAATATGCTCAATGAATAAAAACTAACTTATTAGTAGAATCCAAAACTAGTTTTAAAAGGGAAAATATGGACTAAGTCAAGAGAAAAGCCAGCATGAACTACTGAACTTCAGTGCTTTTACACTATATATGTATACAGTGATGGCTAACTAGATCTCATCATTACCTTAATTATAACTTTATCAGCATATTACTCATTGGTAACAAATGGAAGATTCTAGTTTTTCTTAAAATTATCTCAATAGGTATTTTCTTAGTCCACCAGCTGATTATTGCACAGATTTACCAGACTTCTTTTATTATTTCAAATTTTTTGTCTGTTGTAGTAACTAATTTAATGCAGGTATTCTGATTCAGAAAAATCTACATTTTTATTCAACTATCTAGTGGTTACATTATCAAGAAAGCAAGTTTCCAAAGAGTACAGACGAACAATTGTAATAGATCTATACATTCTCAACAAGTAAAGAGGAATTCATTCCACTGAATCCTGAACTTTTGACTTCATTAACACCTTGTCAGAGAAACAAGGCAGAATAACCACAATCAAGCAAATAGTCTCTTTGGCATGTATCATAAAATGGAAACCCCAATTTAATCTATATTTGAAATGACACAAATATCAAATTCATAATGCAAATTAAGGCATTTTTGTTCAGAATTAACCAGATAGTATGAGTGAAGATAAAATTACTAAGTTCTGGTAATATGATTAATAATATATTTGTATGAAACACATACTGCAAATAAGTACTAAGCAAATATAAAATTAAAATTAGATACCCTCTTTCTAAAGGAGTAGCAATATTAAACTTATATTTCTAATAATTATAATACAAATTCAGTCTTATTTCTTATGTTTACCTCGCTGGTTAGGCTATGAAGGTTCTCTTCTGCCCATTTTATACTTGACTTCATGCTCAAATTACTCGCTTTCAAGTATATGATCTGTTGTTGGGCACAGATGTATGCTATCTGCAGTCTAGCCATCTCCAGCCGTCTCTCCCCAAGGATTTCTTCATTATCACAAATAGATGGTGTTTGTATATCTAAGAGCTGAAAATTTTCTTCATTTGAACTTTCAACTACTTCATGTATACCCTGAAAGAACTGCTTTTTGGTATATAAGGTTAAGGCTGCCGTGCTCTGCTCTTCTTGGCTTATATATTTTTTCAAGGAAAACTGAGATAAAAATACCATTGGATTTGTCCCTTGACCTAAATTAGAATTTCTGAAGAACATCATCAAATTATTAACTCCATCAGTGAGAACCTGAAGTTCATTACTGAGCTTAGTATTCACGGCATTCAGGAATCCCTGACTCTGTTTCAGCTTCTTAGTAGCTTCCTCTTGTTTAGCATTTAACGCCAGAGATTTGTAGCTAGTTTCAGAAGCCATCAACTGGTATTTATTCCGTCGCTGAATTTTTAAGTTCTTTAATTTCTGCAGAGTTTGAACCTCATCCTCTAATTTCTGTATCTCTGTGTCATCCAGTGTAGGTGTCTTCAAATCAAAAGTTTTACAAGTTCTAAGAGCTTCATCCAACGCTGTTCCTTCTAAGATGGGCTTGCCTGATCTTTGAAGGATGCTGAAAGCTTCCAATTCTTTTTCAGACAATACATTCTGTTCATTCACATTCCCACAAAACCATTTCAAAAACGACTCATCTTCAACAGCCTCAAACAGCCAGTCAAAATCTTCTCCATTAAGACTATCAGCTTTAGGATAACCAATTTTTTTCAATGTTTCCACGAACTCCTTTCCACAACTCATCGTTTAACTACCCCTGTTTCTTATATTTGATAAGAATCTATGGTAATGATTTTTAAAAACTAAATTCAAACAGAAAAAAGCATGTTTACACTAAGTCCACAGAAGAAGGGGGAAAAATACAATCTATAATGTGTTTTCCTAGAGGGGAAGAAAATAAGTATTAGACCACAAACAAGGCAAATGCATTTTAAATATACAGATAATTTTATCAGATGACATCAGGAAGCTACTTAAATGAAAGGCAAATGCAGGTTCGTTATCTGATGCAAATAAAGGAAAACATTAGCAATTAGGGCGTTGCTCAGGGCACTGCAACAGTAATGAAAATCTAATTAGTGAAAATTTAACAATAAAGACATTTTTCCAATGATGAAATTATTTAAAATACACTATATTTTGTAAGATAATAGTTGTTTTCACCTGTCGTTACTAGTTAGGAAATAGAAATATGTCACTTTTTTTGAGGAAGATCAACTAAATATTTACCTCAGTCAGCATTCATCAGGTTCAAACGACTCAATCTCCAGATTTAACCAGTCTAATGCAGAGAAAACCAGGGCGAACTGACAAGTTTCAAAGTACCCAGCAGTCATCAAGCAAAAAGTATTTTTTTCACCCAGCGCACAACGATCCACGACTTGAGCCCGAAGGTCAGTGGCAGTGGCAGGCCTTAAAAATCTCTAAACGTTTGACATTCTGTGAGCAAAATCTCTGGGCTGGTTTTTGTTTGTTTCTGAAGTATCCAGTTATGATACTTCGGATCCCTAATACAACACATCCACAAAAGCACCGAACTGCTGTTTTTAAAAGACGCATGAAGGATAGGAGTATATTTCAGGTTTAACGCTTGCCCAGTATGACTGAGGCCTTTTATCCGCAGCACCCGGGGAAAAAAAATTTACCAACCCCAGCCAGATGACTGGCCAAGCACCCCCACCCCTGGCAGGAAACCTCAGCCTCCCGCGCACCCCACGCCCGAGCCCAGTGACCTCTATCGGCGCTTCGAGCTGGCTGCAGGAGGGTAGAGGCGACCTGGCCAGCTCTGAACCGGAGCCCCTTACCTCAGGCGGCTGCCGCCGGCGTTCCCTGCTGCCTTCAACAGCGCGCGCCGCAGTGCCTCACGGGAGTGCCGGGACGCGCACGCGCAGATAGCAACAGCGCTACTGTCCGCTCAAGCGTCGCGTCGTGGAGAGGCCGAGGAGGAACTGCTGACCTGCCCCGCCCTCCCCCGCTCCCGGGAGCCAAGAGCCAGGTAATTGGCTCTCCTGCCAGACGTCCAGCCCCTTAACTCCGCCCCCGGCCCGCGGTGGTCCTGCCCGCTAGGCTCAGGAGGATTGGTTTCCTCACTGGAGACTCCGCCCCCGCCCAGCCACGCCCTAGAGTTGTCGTCGGTTTCTTCGGGCTGAGCGCTGCCCAGCGAACCAAGGCTTATCTCGATCAGTTAGGCCTCCTGTCCTAAGAATGGCTCGTAGTCTTTGACACCTCCAGGAGACAAAAGCCTGAGGCCGAACAGACCCCTTCCCCCGGCACGGTGACCTAGCTGGATGCAAATAACAGGGTCAGTAGTGGGGTCCCCACCGGCAGCAGGTCTCTTGCAGTGTAGGATTATTGGCTATAGATTCTTTTACAGTGGTTGTTTAACAAAAGCCCTTTAACTCCTAAGGCCTAACTGACTTCCTCCACGATCCTATCTATGTCAAAATATAAAGCCCGTATGTTTGGAGTGCTGTGGAAGCAATGCATTCAACTCAAAAGTACAGACATTCTGAGGAGGATGCTAGGCCACAGTCATTCGATGGAAGAATACTGACATAAGGCTAAATCTGATGCAAGTCTGCTTAATGGCCTAATGGCCCCAGAAAACTGACCTTTGGTGTTACAGTTGGCATTGGTAACAACGTGTTTGTATGGGAGAGAATTTGTTCGTTTTTCTAGCAGACAAACCGCATTTGCAACTTGCCAATCTCTTGTAAGACGACAAATAAATTTGCAAGGTGTGGGCTTTGATCATTAGAAAAAAATAGTACTCCCCTCCAGTCACAAATGAGGTGGCTTATCAGACAAAGTTCTAGGCTAGTTACTACTAGGTAGAATTCTACTCCCCTCCCTGTTTTTTAACATTATTGATTGTTTGATTGATTGATTGACTTTATGTATGAGTGCTCTATCTGCATGTACACCTTTATGCCAGAAGAGGGCATCAGATCTCACTACAGATGGTTGTGAGCCAGCATGTGGCTGCTGGGAATTGAACTCAGGACCTCTGGAAGAACAGCCAGTGCTCTTAACCTCTGAGCCACTTCTCCAGCTCCCTGCTTTTTATGGTTTTTGAGAAAAGCATTTGCTGCATGGCCCAGCCTGGGCTTGAATTCAAGATCCCCCTACTTTAGCATCTCCAGGTGTTGGGGTCATAGGTATGAATCACCTTGCCCAGCTCTTAATGTTTTTAAAGAGGAAAAAAAAAAACAACATAACATTCTAGCAGATAATTTAAATTGAAGTTGAAGACATTTACTATTAATTCTTGTTTTACTTTTTATCCTCCTTTTCAAAGTCAATAAAATCTAAAAGTGAATAAAAACAAACATTACAGGGGGAAAGTTCTCAGCATGGTGCCTAATCTGGGGTTAGGAAATCAGGGAGACAGGCCCAGAAGGACCCCTGGAGTCAAGCTGGAGGTAGGGGCTCAGCAGGGAGCTGGTGCTGAGTGGGTTTTGGCCGGAGGAAGTGCAGGCAGTGCTTCTGGGAAATTTTGCTGAGGAGGCAAAGAGCGAGAGAGAAGGAGCCAAATGACACAAGCAGGGGGGGTGGGAGCGCTGAGAGGATTTTTGGTTTTGTTTTGTTTTAAAATGGGAGGAACTTGGAGATATTTATAGAATGTGAGGAAGAACTCAGAGAAGACAAAATTAAGGATGCCAGAAAGACAAAGGACCTCTACGCGCAGGATGAGGTCCCCCCAGAGCAGGAGGCACAACCTGGAACCCAGGAGACCTTCCAGGAAACCCACTCTTCTTAGTGACTCCTGGGGGGTTCCTGGCCCCCAACTCTCCATTTCGAGTTGCTGACCACAGCTATTTGTTTGCAAGGTGTTTGTGAGGCCATAAGAAGCCCTAAAAATATAATGATTAGAACCGATCAGGCCCCTGAGTACAAAAGACAAACACAATGAGTTTAATTATTCAGATCTGGGAAGTTTTCCTGGAATTGGATTAGAAATTTAAGAAGGCAAATATGTTAAACTTATTTCCAAGACAAGCTTGTTTTCTACTCAAAATCAGTTGTGGTTTTAATGGGGTCAAAAGGTAAAGGGAAGCCGGGAGCTAATCTTTCCTAAGCAAGCCTGTGAGAATGTAATGGACAAAACAAGCCTAAATGCAGGACCAGGAGTGAAAGCCTTTGCTGTTGGCCTTTTCTACTTGGCTGAAGTTTTACTCTGCTGTCATCAATATTTTAAAAGTGTTTTATGTTTTAGACAGTATCTTTTCAGTCCGTTTTAAAACTCTGTATACAGCTGGGATGTTAAAGGTTGTTGGCAGATGCAGTTTAATGGAAGTGAAGAGATCTACTCTCCAAACAACATGGAGATGGGACTGTTTTTAAGCCAGGGAGTGACAGCCTCAAACATGTGTTAGCTTGATTCTGCATTGTTTTTTTCAAGTCACAAAAGGTCTGAGAAAGCTGGCACTGGACAACTCAGGAATGGGTAAAGGCAAGGGAACCCCAGGAGCTGGCAGAACCCTGGGGGCTGTCAGCCAGTGAGATGTGGTCTGGCAGCTTCTTCCTATTGGTCTTGTTCTTCCAGAAGAAAGCTGACTTTCTTTAGACCATGGAGTTGGGGGAGGGGAGATTTGCTTTTCATTGTGTTTACATTCATGTGACAAACGGAAACTCAGTACCAAACTGAGGAGCGTTTGGGTCTGCATCACTAGGAAGGGGTCACCATGGTGGTGGGTAGGGACAGGTCTTTGGAGCTGGAAGCTGATACCAAGAGGCCTGGCAGAGTTTAGGGCCCAGGGGAGCCTGGGACCTTAGATAGGCTGAGAGCCTTGTGTCTGTTGAGGCAGACTGGGATGAGAGCCACTGCAGCTCCCTTCCCAGACCAATGGCATAACTCTGGAAAAATCCAGAGCTCCTGTGCCCCCGCTGTCTGGCTACAGATTGGAAAAAGGAGAAGTCATGCAATGTCCCACTAGCAATTAGTCCAGATGAGTCCAGCACCTGTTTATGCAGCCATAATCTCAGCATCAGGGTGACAGAGAGGAACAAAGACTCCTCTTGCAGAGGAGGCTGGGCTTGAACTACCCATGAGATCCCAAATGAGACGGCAAGGACAACGGGCTAGGCTGGGTTGAGGTGAAGGACAGGAGACAGCAGGCATTTGAGTTTAATTCTGGGGATGAAGAAGCGGAGGAGCAGCAGGGCCATCTTGGAGCTACTCTGGCAGCCAAGAAGGAAGCAGACAAGGGTTCAGATTCATGCAGGGGTCTCATGTGGGGGCAAACATGAAGAAATATAGAGATAGGGCTAGGGAGGTGTCTGGTGGGACTGGGGTAGGGGCAGAAAAGCTATGGAAGGAGTACCATCTCTGAGCCTTAAGTTTCCTGTGAGATGAACCCAGCATGACTATAGCAGGTGCTAATTATGCAAAGTATTTAGCACAGACCATGGTGCCCACTGCCCCCAACAGAAAGTAGTAGTGGGGTAGACTCAAAACCACATTATTTGGGATTTAAATGTCCATATTGACATCAACACCCAAGTCGTACCAATCCTGGGGTCCCAATTGTGTTCACATCAGAAAACACCCTTTTCTCTGAGTGACCTTCAACTGCCTCAAAGGCTGTCCACTCCTTCTTCCCCTGCACCCAACAGAAGGCAGGGGAAGGCAGCGGTACACATATTCAAGAATCCAGAGCCCATTGTTGCCTGCTGGGAGAACTGATCCTCCCCAAGATTCATGGGTTCCACCCTAAAACTTCCTAGCAGATACCACTAGGCCATCTCCAATGGGCTCTATGGAAGGTTCACTGTGGTGACACCTTGTTCTCTGGAAGTCCTGATCCATCCCTCTATGGTATTCAGGGTGGCAAATCCTCAAACCTCGATGCACTTCTCTCTCTAGGAGGACAGCCAGGTCCCCAAAGACAAGGGCCAGGGTTCCTGCCAATGGGCTGAAGGCTCCCTGTAGGCAGTGGAGTATCAGGGACACTGTCCTCTCCCCTCCTGTGTGTGTTCTAACAACCTCACAGCTGCTTCTGTCAGGGCAGTTCAGAAGCCTAAATCCCCGTGCTAGCACCAAAGCACAGCTGGCCACACCTGCACCTCAGCACAGTAGGTATTGAGGGCAGAAGCTATGCCTGAGTCATTATGAAGATGCTGGGATGGGACCAGGGAGAGGTCCTTAAAGTTGTAATCTGGAGACCTAGAAACTTCTCTGTAGAGGGCACCCGCCCAGCATCGCACCCTTAAGGATTGAGCCATCTTTGAGCCTACCAAAGGGTAACACTACAAGACCAGCAACAAGAACACCTGGTACGGAGTAGGATGTGTCGTCCTTCTACTATGTCTTCATGGACAGGCTGGTAGACCTATGGACCTGCCAGCTTCCCAGGAAATGGGCGTTGTAGACATGTGAAGGCTGATTCCCAAGGGCCAGGATGACCCATGCTCCAGTGAGTCGGGCCCTCTAGCTGAAGCTGGAGGGAAAGGAGCAAAGGAAGGAGAAAGAACTGGAAACCAGAAGATGAGGTATAAAAATCTGTATTTATATTACAATGACAGAATGACACAGCACAGCCCCATCTGTTAGACAGGTGGGATGGGGGTCCCATTCCACTCTGCAGCTCGGGTCTCATAACTCACCCACTGCACTGGCACCAGGCCCCTTGTGTAGCCCCAGACTCTGGCACGGAACCTGCCCTAGTGCCCTAGTTTAGAGGCCTGAGCTAACTTGCTTGCTGGCCTGGGGTCAAGACCCTCTGTGCAGACACAAAGGGTGGTAGGCTGACTGATCGACAGAGGCAAGGAAGGCTTGGGGCACACAGGAGGGTAGGGTTGTCCAGCCACAGTTTGGTGCACAACTCCGTCTGCCTAGGAAGGCAAGCTCAAGCACCTGCAGGATAGAACTGCAGAGGCAGGCCTAGGGCCTCTATAGAGACAAACCTCTGCGTCCTCTCCTGCTAGACCAGCTGGGCCTGCAGCAGGATGGAGGGTCTGGTACATCTGGACCACCTCCCAGTAGGGGGACCCAAGCCTGAGCCTGGAGTTCCAGACTGTTATGGAGCACCACATGGCTCACATGGACAGATGCAGGTGGAGGACATAAGCAGCAGCTATTTTGGTCCAGATTTCTTTCTACAGACACACAATAGCCTTGGCTGAATCCTATGACCACTAGTAATGGCCATACTGTGCAAATGGTAGAGAGCAAAAGAAGGAATAATGGATATGTAACTCTTAGCACCAGCCCCCATGCCTATGGACTACCCCTCACATGTCTGCTAGTGGGAGGGGCAGCTGGCAAGCACCCCTGGGTGACTGAGGAGGCCAGCTCCCAGGCTACATGGGAACCATAGCCTGAAAAGGCAAAGGGCTGAGCTGCCACAAAATTCAGCCAAGGGAGCCACTCTGGTCACCAGGAGTGGACTCTGCTGGCAGGGATGGAAGCAGAATCTAAGGTGCTGGAGACGGAGCAAGGTGTTGATTCGGGGCACATCAGGAGTTCAGGGCACATCAGGAGCCCTGGAGTTCTGAATCCCTGAAGAAAAGCTTTTAAACATAGCTCTGTCCTGTGCTAAGGGTGGGTGTGCTCAAAACAAATGCCCAGGAGACATGCTTAGGCAGACACTGAAGCCCTCCCTCAGTTGGGCTGAAAATATAGACAGAACCAGCTTACTAAGATGTTGGCTATCATATTCCATGGACTCCTACCCAGGCCTGATGTCCTCCTGTCATCTTGAGTACCCAAAGGTCAGGTTCTATGCCAGAGCTGTTTCCAGGAACTCCATTCTGCCTATCAGTAAGCCACCCACCCTAAGATGCTCACTGGCATGACTAAAGATAAACAAGAATTTTTCCCCACAGTTTGGAAATTGTTTACAAATGCACCAGAGGAGGTGGCAGGTGCTGCTGTGGGCCAGCCCATGGCCACTACCAAAATATTGCTGTGTGGTGCCCCTAGAGAGGTCTTCTAGTACTGAAGGGCCAAAAGAAGCCTCCTAGCCAGGCCTGCACCACCTCCAGAAGAGCTGTATTTATCAGCTGCCTATGGCTGAAACTCCAGGCCCTTGCCCAAGGCCGAGAGAAAAGGCCCCAGGCCAGGAGGCCTGCTGTCCCCAAACTTTCAGGCACAGTCACGCTGCCAGTTACCAGGGAGGCACCACTGAAGGCCAGGTCATAGCCCTGCAGGATACAAAAATCAGCCATGGGAGCCACACAGGCATGCATATGTCCCTCCCAGGAGGCTGCAGCTGCTGGGAGGTGCCACCTGTGGAAAAGCAGTGACGGGGGCACCTGCCAGCAGGCCTGGTGCATCCCATAAGCCACAGGGACATGCTGGTGGCAGTGGATGGGGTGAGACGGGACACAAGGCACACTATGACGATGTAACAGAGGATGGGTCCCTGAGACGCTGGGTCGCTCCCACCCCTCAGCAAACAAGGACACAACAATGGCTAGGAAAATAGAGTACAAAAATCTCATACAGGAAGTAGAGGCGGCACACACTCATGTCCCTTGGCGAGTCTTCAGAGCTTTTTTCTCTTTTTAAAAATGTTTCTGTTTTGTGTTTTGGGTAAAGCCTCTGCCAGCTGAGGCTGTCCTGGGCAGGGCTTGTGAGGCCCCTTCTGGGAGCTCCCTGTCGAACTTTTTTTTTCTTTCTTTTTTTTTTTTTCTTTTCTTAAGAAAGGGAGATGAGAAAGCTTGGAGGACCCAGTGGTTTGAGCTTGCTGCTCAGCTTATTCCAGTCCCCTGCCAGGAATAAAAGCCCTGTCTATTTCCTGTGCAGACTAGACAGAGCCATCTGGGCTGGCAGAGGTGAGCAGGGGCCGGAGTGAGAGTCAGGCACAGGCTAGGGGCCATCATTTCCAAGTGACCTCAGGCCAGCTATCTCAGGACATACATTCTCTGATGTCCATGTGTCTGTGTGTATGTCATTGTGGGTGTGAGCCTAGGCATGTGTGTCTACATCTGATGGTCCAAATAGAGCAGAAGCCACCCAAGTTGGTATGAGGTAGCCCAGCCGGACCCCAGGAGCATCCCCCTGGCTCCTGACACCACGGTAAAGGATTCCCACCCGCCTGCTCCAGATGCTCACCCAAGTCCTGCCTTTCACAGATCTCTCTGTCCACATCTCAGGAGCCTGTGTGGACCAACAGGTAGATGGACAGATGAATGGATGGACAGCTGCACCCGCCTGCCTGCCTTCCTTCCTTCTCAGTCCACTCCTCTCTCCTGGGATCCAATGCTGGGGTTCAAGCTCCCCATGGTGGTCATTAAGGCCCCTACACGGATCCTGCCGAGATTTGCAGCATGACATTTAATACTTCTGGAATGATTAGGAATCTGAGAACAGATCATGGGTGACTACGCTGGGCTCCAGATGTGAGAGCCTGACCCTACTTCCCAGCATGGGATCTTGCCCTGCAGAGAAGGGGCAGGCAGTTGGAGTCCTGACCAAAGGGTGGGCAGGCAGAGGCAGGCAGACCAGGCAGCAGCTGTAGATTCGAGAATAGCACAGCAGTAGGCTCATGACGAGGCTGGCTTCAGTTAAGGGAGGACTGGAAGGCTGAGACGCTTGGCTAGGTGGGCAGGCAGGTGGGCCAAGAAGCAAAGGACATGGAGCCTACGAAAGGCCAGGGCAGCCAGGCCGTCTGCAAGGGTGCCCATAGCTGCTGTCGCTGCAGCCACTGCTCTGTAGGCTGTAGTGGTCATCGGCATCACTGCTGCTGCCAACACTGTCCAGCTCCCCAGGGCCAAACTCCATGCCCTCTATATCCACCTCTGAGAGAATAGAGAGAGGAAGGGTCAGGGTGGCCCCTTCCAAACAAGCTAGACTGGGGCTCCCTTCCAAGTTAGAGCTCATGTTTCCCTTTTATGGAAGTGGAGGCTGGGGTTGGGGGAGATAAGGGAGGTCCTCTGGGCCCTGAGGTGGGAGATGCTAGGATGGCTCTAGTCAAAGTCTTGGGTTATGAACCCAGACTCTGCATCATGCTGACCAGTGGTGAGTCATCTGCTTTCACAGAGCCACACGATGGCCTCTGTGCCTCCTTGTCGTCTTCCCATCCCTTCTTTGTGTAAGGCTGGGAATTACCGTAGTACAGCTAGCAGGTAGTTCAGGTGGTGTGGGCACCTTGTCACCACTAACATCATTCTCTCCCTAGGTACTTCCTTGTCCCCCTGGAGCTTTGGGGATTCCTATACCCAGAGGCCAGGGTTGGGCTGCCCCAGCTCCTACCTGGGCACTCACCTTGCTCCGAGTCGTCCGTGGACACAGCAGAACCTGTGCTGTCAGTGCGCACACGCTCTACACTCTGCACTGATAGTTGCTCTAGGCGTCGCTTGAGGAAGCGATGCTCCCGCTGCAGCTGCTCCTTGATGCTCAGTGCCCTGCGGTCCTGCTCCTCCAGTTTCTAGGGACAGAGGGTGGTCTGTGAGCCCACAGTCAAAAGGGAATAACCTCTCTTGGGAATAAGCACAGAAGCTTTATAGGCAGGATCCTTACCCATAACATGACCTGCTAGACAGAGCCACAGGATGCCCAGCCAAATGTGTCCCTCCTCACCCCAGCAAGGTGACCACTTACTCAGCTTGGTCTTTCACTCTTAGCCTGTTAACTAGCTGTAGAATGCCCAGTGCTGCTGGCCAGCCCCAGGAAGCTGAGGCACATGTGGACCTCGAGCCCTGGGACAGTGTCATCCACACTTTGGCAGGCACCTCCCTCGAGCCCTATTCATGAGAGCTCCACCTGCCCCTGTATTGGGCTTCCACTGCAGCATCTGAGAATGGAGCAGCAGTGGGGAAATGGTAAGGGAGACACCTGCAAGCAGGTCTGGTGTACCCTGTAAGGCATAGACCTTCCTACATTCTCAAACCTTCCTGTGGGGGGGCCCTCCTGAGACACTGCTGTCCTATTAAAACCCCAGGGCCTTGGATGTAACTTTCAAAGCTACTACCACCTGATCATGACTCCACACTTGTGAGGAAGAACAGCCCTTTCAAAGGGAAAAACCTATCCTGGCTGACCCAAATGTCCTAAGAACACTACATAAGCAACTCTCAGTCTGAAGGCTTTGGGGGACTGCCTCAGGTAAATCTCCCTTAGCCTAGCCCCACACCAACTCCCAAGAACAGTCTCCACCACTCCTCCCCCTTCCCTTTAAATGTTGCCTACTCCCAGTCCGACTCTCTATGAAGGCATATAATGATCCCTTGCCCCTCTCTTAACTCCACCTCTTCTTCCAGCTGCTGCCCCTGCATAGCCCAGTGTTATAGAGAACTATCTGTACCAGCCTGGTGCCTGGCCTATCCACCCAACTATACTGTCTCCCTGCCAGTCACCACTCAACAACCCAACACAAGGCATGGAACCTCCACACCACCTATCAGCTCCTTTTGGGTCTCCCCATAAACTCCTGACATGTACCTGCTAAGTGGCTCCACAACCCACTTCCAGGTCCTCTGAATCAATGGCTGCCCAAGAGTAGGGATGGCTTGGGGGACATCAGGGTGTCTGGAGAATAGTGGACACAGCATGCTTACCTTGATGTGCATCTTGGCACGCTTCAGGAGGCTCAGAGTGGTGTGTCGTGTGCTGTCAGGGCCCAGGGGTACCAGCTGCTTGAGCTGTTCCAGGTAGAGCCTGAGTTTAGCTCGTCTGAAAGAGCCAGAGACAGACTATCAAGCTAGGCAGCAAATCCCACAGAACTATGGCAGATGTGGCTGGTGGAAGGGGGAAGTGGCCAGCCAAGCCCCTCCATAGGCCCCAGTATCACTGTAGGCCTGCCTCTTGACCTGGAAGTTGCCCCAGACTCTGCTCAGGGCTGGAGTATCTAGATCCCTCTCCAGGAATTCCCTCCTGGTCTGGGTAACACATCCCCTCAGGAGCAGCCTGTTACAGGTACCTCTGTGGACATGGTGTCCACATGGTTCCACAGGGCCTAAGGACCTAGGGAATAAATATCTGTGTTACCCATTCTGCCCTGTACAATGTGCTCCAGTGACTCTTGTCCTCATAGAAACATGAGTTGATAAGATCAATGGAGGGCTGAGGACCAGTTCTGTCTGCTGAGTTTGTGGTCTCACTGGAAACTGCATCATTCCAGACTTTTGTTCCTGTATCCATTTGTGTGGATCCATTTTTTCACAAAACGAACCATATTCACAGTACTTGTTCATATGCTGTAATGCTCTTCTGCCTGGTGTGTAGCTACAACTAAGTTCATCTCCAGAGGCTATCCCTGACATTACCATGATAACAGGGACTGCTTCTACATCTGCACATTCCAGCTGACCAGTATCTGCAGGAAACCAGTGTTCTGTCTAAGTGATGCCCAATTATGGAGCTAGCCAGGCCCTATAGGAAGCCAAGGTGGTTTCCAAGTCAGTATGGCTTGCTTTGGACACATTCTTAAAAGTATAACTGGCAGGTCAAGGACAGAATTTTTTTTTTTTTTTTAGGATTGTGGAAACCTGCTGCCCAACTGGTCAGTCATGGCCAGTGCCCACACATACTTTTTTTTTTTTTTTCAATTTGCTTCTGTTTTTGGGAGAGAGAGAAAGAAGGTGTGAGTTGGATGGTGGGGAGGTAGGGAAGATCTAGAAGAAGTGGGAGGTGAAACCATGATTAGAATATATTGTATGAAAAAAATCTACTTTCAATAAAAAAAAGAGAGTGGCACCATGCTAAAAGTCTACTTTTCATATCTGTTCCCTAGTCACAGAGCCCAAACATCCCTACAGACTCCCTCAGTCCTAAGGAGACTTGGAAGGACAGAATGCAGGAACAACCATCTCTTGGACAGAGGAGGGGGCCCTTGGGTACAGGAAGAGACCATAGAGAGATGTTAACAGTCATACACAGGGTTCGGGCGGGGAGGGGGAGGTGCCACCCATGGCCATTATGCCTTTCAAACTGCACCCATTGCTGAGAAAGCACTTTCTCACCTAGCATCTTGGCTCAGAGGTCTTTTTGGTGAACTAGACTTAGACTTTTGGAAGAACTTCTTAGACACAGGACTGAGGTTGGGCTTAGCCAGAAGGCCGGGTGTGAGTGAGAGTGTGTAAGCCCCTGACTCTGCCTCAAGGCTAGAGGATCTTCAATCCTGCCATATATACAGGCTTCTGGCTCCATATTACTGCATGCATGGTTACCCGCTCAGAGAGTCCAGATCTCAGCTTCATTCCAGCACAGTGAGTATCCAGCCCTAGGAACTGAAGGGACTAGAGAACAGAGCTGGGCTAGGGAGCAGAGATGGAGCCTTCCCGAGATAGATTCCACTGTCCTGAAGCCACCACTGAGATCTGACAGGTGGAGCGGCCAGGGACCCTTCTCACCAGGTGGACTTGTTACACAGCAAATAGCAATTCATAAACCCATCATTTAATCATGTCAGCAGCAATGGCTTTTTGGTAATTGATGGAAATTGCAAATTGACAAGAGACAAAGTATTCCCAAGTTCCCTGTCCCAGAGATGACCACACTGTCATTTTTGGTGTATCTATCTTTCCAGTTCATGAGTGTTAAGTGAGAACATTAGGATACAGAACCACATATGTCACAAGTGACCCACTTTTGTTTAAAAAAATAAAAAAAAAAGCAGACGCACACAAGAGACTCAACAGAAGACAATGAAGCACAGGAAGCGTGCATCTCCAGGGATGCGGCTGGCAACGTTTATTTCTTTAGCTGAGTGCTCTTCTGCATTTTCCAGGTTTTCTATGCTTTAAAAACCCCACAGTTACTTTTACAATCAGAGAAAGACATGTTTATACAAGAAAGAAACACAGCTGAAAGACAAATAACAGTAGGAATGCATTTGCAATACATATAAAAGACAAAATGGTTAGTATTAGTGATGTTTTGAGCTCATACAACACATCAAAAATAAAGAATACTGCCCTCGTGTAACAATGAGCAAAGGACACAAACAGGCAAGTTGCAGAAAATGAAGGGCAACTCTAACATGAACACAGACTCCATCCCATGAGTAATCAGGAAATGAACTCAAACAAGAAGAGGCTCATTTTCTCCTTTATACCAACTGGAATGTAAAGAGGTGGCTGGAACTCACTTGGACAGTACATGTCACAGTTCCTGTGGGAGAAGCGCCATTGATTTTGGCCCAGACCACTGACCAGTATTTCTACTTCTAGAAATTTAGGAGCTATAAAACCATCCCTGGGCATCTGAAAACTCAGCTCAACAATGGTCAGGTCAGAGGGAACCTGGAAGGATGGCTGTGGGCTTCTACAGGCTCTGAAGTCAGGAAGGCTAGGGCACATGGACACAGGTCTGCAGCACTTACATGGTATTGGATGAAGGATCCAGGTAGGGATAATGGGTAACAAGGGCCCTTTATCATTTCAGGGGCCTCCAGGTGACCAGGATAAGGTCTCTGGGTATAGGGAGTACATGAATAATACTTCAGAAAAAAGTACTGCTTCAAGAGATGAAGAAAAGTCACCTGACCATACACAAGCACTGTAAAAGTAATATGTCTACCCAAACCCAGAGAGTGCATACCCAGAGCTAAGCCTATGGTTGGTGAGGGGATGTGGGGAAGGTCTCCCACCCCTATTCTGAGCGCCACAGTCTTAGAGTCTAGGATGCTCTGAAATCTCGCTTAATCCTCCCTAAAGCCACTATAGCACACCAGACTCAATGCTAACACTAATGGCTGTCCCTAGGCATCCCAAACTTGTCAAACCCCTGTGCTTCTAAAGGAATCAGATCTGCCCCTAGAATCCCTGCATTAGTATCAGCAACAGCCCAACTCTCCTCACTGCCCAGCCCCTTGACAATGCCACACCTAAGCTTCTCACTGAAAACCCCTACTCCTCAAAGGAAGGCCCAAAAGCTGGCGGCAGGGGCTTGGCTCTTATGCCAGGGTCCCCCAGCACATGTGTGTCAGAGTCTTGGCTGGATGGCAGAGATAAGTTCCAGGCCAGGTTACTGGAAAAAAAGGGCAATGAGGAATTCCACTACAATCAGTGGTGCGGGACAAGGGGACCCCTACTCTTTTCTATTTATCATCATCTTCTAGCAGTTGCTAACAAAACATGTTCCCGTGTGGTTCCACATGGCTACATCAGGCACTTGTGGGCAGCTATGAAGGAGCATGCCAAGGCTCAACAACCATCTCTGTGCCTGGATTAGGGTTAGGGGCCTAGCTGAGGGTTTAGACCTGATCTCTGAATGTATTGGGCCACTCAAGGAGTGCTAAGGGCATGGAAGAACATCTAGAGCTCTCACCAATACCAGCTAAGACCAAAGACTAGAGCTGAGCCTAGGAGAGTTGCCAGGTCCTGAGGTCAGCAGCAAGTGCTAGACTTGGCAACTCTAACTGAGCTACTGACCTACAGGGGTAGTAGGCCTATGATTGGCTGGGTACTATTCAAAGCTCCAAAAGGGGAAGTCCCACAGGCCTACCTGAGTCTCTCTGAGGGACACTCCACTGAAGGCAGTGTCCAGGGTATGCCTCTTATGGCCTGCTGGGCAGCTAGCCAGGTATTTCCTTCCTTCCTCAGGACAACACACAAGCCCTTCCCTCAGCCAGCGGCCAGGAACACCTGGCATCGATCTCAGGCCAGCTACAGCCAGCCATGACTGATGTCCCTACCAGGGCCCAAGCCCTAAGCCTGTGGGCTGCTCAGGGCTATCTATGGTCTGATTAGCTAGGTAGAAAGACTCTGCCCTAAGCTGGGTGGCAGAGAGCCCAGGATGCCCAACCACTCTTACTCCATCTTAAATTAAGGGCTTCCATGAGACCCAGTCTAACTATAGGCTTGAGGAAGATGGCAGAGACCAAGGGCAAGGTCACTGGATGTCTGCAGAGGTCAGAGGCCAACCCTTATCCTTCCTAGAGGTTGCCATACCCTTACTACCCATGCTTTCCTCAATGGCATTCCCCATCCATCCTCACTACCAGCTGTCCTCCCAAACTCTGCTTCCGGGAAGCCCTTACTATAGGTCAGGCCACTGTGCCTGGGTCTGGACAAGGCTGGCTGGTCTCTTCTGACCTAGGAGCAACCCCAAGCCGGCCTCACACTGGCTTCCATCCCTGTGGCCTGGCCCCTTGGGAACCCCCCAACCACACACAGCCAGTGCAGGAAGTGCATCTCCTCAGGGAACATGGTGTTCTGTCCCTGCCCAGCCACCCGCCCCAACCAGAGTCCTGAATCCCGGGAGAGCGGAAGTTGGCTCTGCACTGGGCGCAGACATGGGGGAGGGGGGAGGGAAAGAACTGGCTGGGCTCCAGATCTTCCCAGTGCACCCAGGAGGGCTCATCTAGGATGCAGAGTTACACACCCCACCCCCCAAACACCAAGAAGGCAAGACAGAACTGGTCCATTCTATAGATAGGAGCAGAGGTCAGGATAGAGCTATTGCCTAGTGTCTCTCAGGGGCTTTCCCTGGTCCTTGCAAGGGGCCTACTGCTTATGGGGCTGCCTGGCCTAAAATACCTCTGCTTCCACTTAGGCTGATGCTGGCAGCCACGAGTATCTCCTTCATCTCCCACCTCCCAGGGCTCAGGCACACCTTGTCATCACTGGCAGAGGGAAGATACAAATGACAAGATGAAGCAGCCTCATGGGCCACCAGCCATACCAGGAGCTGACTAGAGCCTGGGCCTGCTGCCCTCTTGATGCAGAGCATCACAGCTCCTTAGAAAGCAGGCCCCAAAGGCATAGAGGTAAGGGGGAGAGGGCTGAATCCTCTACAAGGGCCACTGTACTGAGAGCTGAAACAAAGTTTCCAAAGGGCCTTCAGCACAGCCAATCACACCATGTCTCCCAGGGAGCAAACTCAGAGTGCTGGCCCTGCGAGGATCTGTGCTCTGAGGCCTTGGTACCCACCAGTTCTGATCCCAGGCTAAACACCAATAGGTCCTGGGCCCAGCCCTTGCCAACCAATCTAAAATGCCTGAGAACAGCCCCTAGACCCTGTAGAGCTGATCTTTCCAGAGCCTAAAGCATAGCCTGGCAACTCAGACAGGTCAGGTCTGCAAAAGCACCCCCTCAGCGTAGGGTTTGGGGGGGGGCGGTCACATCCAGTAGCTCACATGGGAATGGGGGTGCCACTTACCTGTGCTTTTCTAGTTCGTTGTGTGAAGACCTGTTTAGAGAGATAGAAAGACAGGGCTCACTCCGAGGCCCAACAACCAGAGCATAAATAACAGTGGCTCTTTGTAGAGAGCCAGGAGTCCTCATACAGTGGCTAGGAGGATCAAGGTCCAGGATATCTCTGGATGCTGACAGCTAGGGCAGGTGTACAGCTGCCTACCAAAGGCTAGGGTAACCACACACTGAATTGTGAGGATTGGGGCTGGCTACCTTCCTTCTCTGCTCCCTTTCCCTCAGGCCAACTGTGTGCAATATAAGCCATGCAGAGAACCAGTGGCAGTCTGGGCATGTAACACGAAGGCCAGGCCCTCAGGAGACAAGATAACCCTGTCCTCCCACAACCACTCTGTCACACAGATAGGAACACCCAGGACAAAGCTGTTACAGCCAAGTCAGTTCACAGACGCTTTCTGGGCCTGTAGGTATACAGCAGGACATAGAAGACAGCCATTCCCACTTCTCTCAGGAGCTGCATTATGCCAGAACTTGTCACCCTGCGTCCAAGTTTACCTTCCCTGGGAACAGTGACCCCATGGACTGCTTGAGCCCTGCTGGCCAAGCCCACTCAGATCAGAGCAAATTTCTGAACACCACAGGTGCCACTCTGGCTTTCAAGTGACTCTAGAATCTAAGGGAATGCCACAAAGCAACAAGGGATTCCAGGTCTCAGGGCTGCCGCACAAATGAGCGGAAAGCTCAGGACACACCCAGACCAAGTCCCTCCCTGGGCTTCTGCTGGCCACTGCCCACCTGTTCCTTCTTCTGCTGCTGCTCCAGAACTTGGATCTGGTATCTTCTACCAAAAAGCATGCATACTCTGCCTGCCCCATCACCTCCTGAAGCCATCAGGGTACGAGGTCACCCATCTTCCCTCAAGTCCTGCTGATTTCTGGGCTCCCTGTGTGGTTTCCAGGGTCCTTAAAGACCTTCTAGTCACCTGGGCTGGGCCAGAGCCTCAGAATCCCTCCATGAGCCAACCAGAGCCAAGAAGGCAGCACAGAAGCTCCTCACTGGCCTTGGGCCTTCAGCCCAAACTGCAGCCCGACTGGGTCTGTAGGTGTGCTAGTTTGTGCAGGAGGCTGGGGTCAGCAGGGGTCTTCAGTGTTGAGAAGCCCCCGACCTCCTGCACCAAAGGATGACCCTTGTTTTGTTCCCAACCCTGGACTGGAGGGCTACTCTTAAGCAGTATAGGGGATGGCCTTTCTTGGAACTCTTCCTGCATCCAGGGATCCTGGAGGGGAGCTTGTCACACAGGTTCTAGAAGCACCTGTGCCTGAGGAGAGGTCATGGTTGTGTCAGGTGCTGTCTGGGCGCCACCTTGACCTGACCCCTCTGCTCACTTTCTCGAAGAATGGGACTCTGAAAGGCTAGCTCCAGGCCCCTCCCACGGAGCCACTGCCATTAGAGACCTCTCCAGAGCCCACGTCAGTCACAGGGTTGCTGTCCCCTACCCACCTTGCACCCTGGCCTGCTGTACACGAGCCTGTCCTTCCATTTTCCAGGACACAGAAGCCTTACAGGTTCAGAACTGCCCTTCCACATCTGGGATCCCAGCTTCTCAACTGAGCTGGCTGAGGGCAGCCTTCTGAGCAGTGCTGGGGAGGGAAGGGCTATGCCTGCCACCCCTAAGGCCTTAGGTCTTGAGAGAGTTCATTCTGTCCAAGGAAGCTTTTGGGAAGGTGTACCCAAGTCAGAGAGGCCCTCTGCATCCCCTGCCCCTTGCACCCAGGTCTCCATCCCAGCAGAAGGTAGAAGGTAGGACCTCATCCAGGAACAGGAGCCAGAGGTGGTTAAGTGGCCCTAGGCAAGTAACTGAATCTGTCTATGCCCTGGTTTCCTCAGCTGTAAAATCGAGTTCAAAACAAGGCTTCTCAGTAAATTTTTTATTTATGTGCATTGGTGTTCTGTCTGCATGTGTGTCTGTATGAAGGTGTCAGGTACCCTGGAACTGGAGTTACAGAGAGTTGTAAGCTGCCATGTGGGTGCTAGAAATTGAACCCAGATCCTCTGCTGAGCCATCTCTCCAACCCTCAAAATAAGGCTTCTTTTACAAGGCTAGGTCAGATTGCTTACTTGTGTATATGGCAGAAGCATTCGAGTACCTCAGCTACCATCCCTGTCACCTGTGGTTGCTCCATGCCACAGGAACCTGAACTCCCAACCTGGGGTTTAGGGCAGACAGAGGCAGGGGCCAGGCCATCTCACTGTGGAAGTAGTAAGGCCTCCAACACACTTATGTCCTTCTGCAAACTGCCCAAAGCAGGGGCTGGGGCTCAGGCAGTTGGAAATTCAACCAGGTCTTGGACACCACAGAAATAGGTCCTTGTGCCAGCCTCTCTGTTTCCCAAGAACAAGCAGGCCACAGGAATGAGCCCCACCCTCTGCCAGGGAGCCCTGAAGCCCCCAGCCTGCCTGGGAAGCTCCCAGACTGACCCCACAGGAGTGGCTGGGACAAGGGTGGCCCCTGGACACTGTCAGGTGTGTCATGGTCCCCACTGCAGCTGGGAAGGTGGAACCCTTAGGAGTCCTAGCCATGCCTAAACCCCAACTTCAGGGCTACCTCCAAGCACGTACAAGGCCAGGGCACAGAGAGTAGTTGGGCCTTGGGTCTCTTGGCAGAAAGAGCTCCCTGTAGCTTTTCGCCACAAGGCCAGCCCTGCACTTGTAGTTGGGAGTTTCCCTGTCAGTTGGCTGCGCAGGACCGATGGGTACCCAAGGAGGGGTCTCTGTCCAGGTTCCTGAGGGTAAGGTGATGGGCCTAACAGCAAGGCCAGCTTCGAGAAGTGCAAGGGAGGGAGGAGTCCCCAATTCGTCCCTAGGGAGGGAGCAGCGGCCAGCACCAACTGACAACTCCTCTCCAGTCTGGAAAAGTCCAGAACGACTCTGGACGAACGCGGGCGCTGTACGCGTGGCACTGTTTACGGCGGCGGGAGGCGCGGCCGCGGGAAGATGGCGACGCGCGGGCGGGGCCGGCACCTCTTCCAGGCCGGCCGCCCGGGTGCGCGCAGGACTGCGCTGGGGACGCGGAGAGGACGGGGACACTCGGGCGGGGCCGGCCCGAGCTGGCTGGGCACAGCGCGCGGGGGTGGGGGGATGGGGGCGGTACCTGTTGTTTGGGGCCTTGCGCACCAGGCCGGCCGTCTTTGTTTTCTTCCTGGCGAAGTCACCGTCGAAGGGCAGCACAGAGGCGTAGCCGTGCTCGGCCTCTGCGGGACAGACGGTGCGATCAGCGGCCCCCTGCGCCCGCCCGCCGCCCGCCCACCCTGGCACAAAGGGGCGCGGGCTACCTCGGTCCCTACGCTCCAGGTACTCGGCCGCCTCCAACAGCAGCAGCAGGGAATTCAGCTCCATCCTGCCGCCCGCGCACGGGACGGCGGCGGCAGCTGCCCGGCGCGCTCCTGCCGGCTCTGCTCGCCGCACGCCCCGCGCCTGGCGGCACACCAGCCCGACTCGCGGACTCCAGCGCTGGACCGCCACCCTCCGCCTCAGGCCCTCAAATTGACACATAAGGCGAGCGGCGGTCGTCACATCCAATAGGCGTGGACTCTCTGGCCTGGGGGGCGGATCCTAGGCCAGCCTCGGCCAATGGTGACTGGCCGAACGCCTCGGGCAGGGCTGAGAATGTTGACAGATGCGAAGCTTGGCTGGGATAGGTTGGCCCCAGTAGTAACAATTTAGAAGCCCAAGCTTAGCAACAGCACGTGGTGGCCCGGCCCCAGTGCTCGCTGACTGGCGGCCGTCGTGCATGTTAAGTAGGCATTGCACACCGATTGGGCCAGATCGGCCTATGTAAATTGGGACCGCGGACCAATGGCCGGCGACGGGGCGTGGGGCCAATGAGGGCGCCCGGGCAGGACGCGTTGCCGAGAGGAAGCGCAGCGCGGTGGGACCGCTGCCCGGCCTACGCTGGGGCCAGGAGGACGTGGACCGTGTCTCGGGAGACACCCGGCAGGATGCGCTGCGGACACGCGCCCCGGTGCTTTGTCGTGCCATGCACGTCGTGCGCAACGACCTGTTGCTCGGGGTCAGCTGTACCACAGTCTCGGTAGAAGACCCGGTTTGGGGGCCTGACTGGGGCCGGAGCTGGGATCTTGCTAAAGGACTGCAAACGACACCTGTCCCCGCATGAATAGTGGCTTCAGGGAAGGCTAAAACTTGGGACAGAGACGCAGACATTTGGAACCTAAAAGCTACTCAGAAAATGTCAGATCCAGAGTAAGCAGAAACACTTAGTTTCCTAGTGTCCATCAGGAGTGAAAGAAAGATCACCAGGTCTAAAGAAGGGGCCCCAAGATCTGCTGCCACGAGCAAGAGAGATCCCGGAGTGCAGTCTGTTTGTGGTGCTTGGTCTGAGGGTAGGGCTATTCCAATAATCAGGTTCTGGTGACCGACAAGAGGGCGAGCTCTTCAGCAGGCTCTTGGCTGTGTGGCCGCTTTAAGTCCTAAGCAGATGGACCAGCAAGCTGGAGAGTTCTGTGGCATAAGGTGGCTGGCTGGACAGCAGCCTCTAAAATAGAAGGAGACTACTGTCGCCAACAGCAAAAATTACTAATGCTACACTTTATTGTAGGACCAAAGCGGATGCATGATACACACTTCCTTGTGGATCTCTGTATGCCCAATATGCAGATAAGGAAACTTGCAGAGTCCCCTTGAAATAGGAAAATGGAGACCAGTGCTCCTACACTGGTTACTCAAGACTGTTAACAATCCAGGAATGTGGAAACCAGAGCCACTTCGTTCCCAATCTGGGTGTGAGCCACAGATGTCTGACCTGTGGGGCAGGATTAAGAACAACAGGTGCGCAGAGGGAGCCCGGCAAGACCCAGTGAGGAACCTCATGCTGCTGTAAACAGTCCTGTATAGACACTGAAAGAACCCCTTGGTGTTGGCTGAGGTGCCTCTTGGACCAGCCCCACAATCACCCCAAGGCCAGGTAGCTAGAACCAGTTAGTCTGTAGGGCTGCCTAGAGTTGTGAATGAGAAGGATGTCCATCTTTCTGGAGCACTGAGAGCCATGCTGAGATTTGGGGGTCCTGAGATTAGCACTGTGGGGGGGGGCAGCATTTTGATGGGTGCACCCTTGCTTCGGCAGGCTGGAGAATTGCCTCAAAGTGCTAAGGCAAGACCTCCCTAGCCTGCTGCCTCCTGCTACTGGGACAGGATGTTCCAGTGTGCTGAAGTGGAGCACAAGGGTAACCATGGCCTCCCAGCCTGGGAAAATTTTAATCTCAACCGAAGACACTAGCTCCTACCAGCTGCACCCAGGGCAAAGCACTTTCCGGTGCCAGAAGGGCTCACCCTCTGCCAGATCATGCAAAAGCTGGGAAAAGTGGACAGTGGTGACCTGGTGAGTGAAGGTTGGCTATAGAGGAGTCCTAGGGGCAGGACAGCAGTCCTGCTGCTCAGGGAGGCTGCAGAATGAGCTGGATCCCCAGGGGAGTCTGGAAGCCGCTGCTTGGAACAGGAACCGGCTTGCAAGTGCAAAGGGCAAGCTGGTCCCATGGAGACCAGTGGGGTCTCTACACCCATAGCCTTCACGGTGTGAGGTGGGGCAGAGGCACCAGTAGGGCCTGTGTGCATCTGTGCCCCCAAAGTTCCCAGGATTTGGGAAAAGGAGGCAGCAGCTTGGCTGACCAAGACCCTGTACTTCATCACAGGCCACTTACTGTGACCTGCCAGGCTCACCTAGAGAGGGCCAGTGGGCAGTAAGAAGGCAGACACCTCCACTCCTGGTAGTGTATTGCTGCCAAGTCCTCAGCCCTGTCTTCCCTCACGAATTGGAGGGTAACCCAGCATGACCTAGGAGAAAGGACACGGGGCCTCCCCCAGTTTGGGGTGGATGATCAGGGGTTGCAAGTCTTCACTCTGCCTGACCTTTCCCCCTAGCGGCCTCCCCCACTTCCGTTTCTCTGACTAGGAATAAGGCTAACACCCACTTCTGGGGCATCTGGAGGGTTGACCAAAGAGTTTTTGATCCAGTATGGGAAAGGGCTGCTTGATCTCCTCCCCCAACACACACACACACACACACACACACACACACACACACACACACACACACACACACACAGAGAGAGAGAGAGAGAGAGAGAGAGAGAGAGAGAGAGAGAGAGAGAGAGAGAGAGAGAGAGAGAGAACTGAGAAACCTCTAGAAGAATGCTTTTAGGTCTTTTCCCCCCTTACCCTGCCCTGGCTTCTCTCTCTGGGATCAGGTCACCAGCTTATGGTACACAGCACCCTCATACCTCCCTGCCCAGGTATGGCAATATTGCCCAGACTTCTTAGGAGCGCCAGGGAGTGTCCCACACAGCCAGGGTAGAAAAGTTGCTGAGGTCTACTCCTTCTCCCCCTCTTATTACCTGACCCTGCCCTCTCTCCTACCTTTGGCCTCTTCAGTCATTGGTGTAGACGCCTGGCAGCCACTGGGCCCCAGCCCTAGCATCCTGTTTGGTTTGCCCACGTGTCAGAATCCTGCAGCCTGAACCTGCCTCTCCTCAGACCCTTAGTGGGAAGCTCCTGGAGGAGAGGTCTGGATCTGTAGGATGGTGGGCCTAGCAGGCCCTGGAGAGCTATGATGGAGGAGAGCTCAGTCCTCTAGAATCTGCTGCTACCTGCACTGGGAGGCTAGTGGTGTACCCACAGCAGGGAAGGGTGAATGGAAGTTCTGTTTGATTCCATTCCCGAGAGCCATTCTGGATTCTAGTATGGCCATGAGAATTTGACTGCCTAAGCCTCAGTTTCCCTAACTATAAAATAAGAATGACAACCTCTGGCTTTTGGAGTGCTTGGTGACACATTGAAGAATGCATGAAAAAACCCTAGGCAGCGGCAGGCTGAGCACAAAGCCATGCCCAGGAAACAGCAGGAATATGTGCAGTAAGTACTGCAAACCCCTGGCCACGCCCATGGGGTAATGGAGCCCATAGGGGCAGGCTTACCCAGTCACAACCGGTCAGAACCTGGGGTGGAGCTTAGGCTGCCAGGCTGGCCAGTCACAAGTACCAGGCCTGGTCTCTGAGCACTTGGAGGCCTTCCAGAAAGTTTGACATGCAAGAAAACACTGTTCAAGAATACAAAAGGAAGACAGGAAAATCAAAGTGCATCAAGATGTAATTAATGGTCTATGTAAACTAATATAATGTCAATATTATTTTTTAAATTTAAAATATAACAGTTCATTGTATTTGTGAATGATTTGTGCAGTACTTTTTCTTCATTTCAAGCTTTTCCCGCTATACTAATGGGCATGCATAAGTTAACAATTTATATATTAAATGAATTTTGTAGCCTTAAAGGTCCAAATCTTTCCAATGCTTTCACAGAGGAGAAATAAAAAAGACGTCCATGAATGAGGGATGTGGGTGAATGCACTCACTCACTGCCATGGGGTCTCCACAATAGGGAGAGCCAGAATCACTGGCAGCTGAACCACCTGGACTTTGGCTAAGAGGCACAGGGAGGGCCCATCCTGGCCCTGCCTCTGCTCCTGGACTCATATGACTGAAGGAGTCCTCCTTCTTGAAGGTCATACATGAACTAGAGGGGCTCTGCTGTGCTCTATGTGTACTGGGGGTGGGAGTCAGCACTGCTCTCAAACAAGGCTTCCTTGTGAGCCTAGGAGGAAGCATGGACTTCTATGCTTTGGGGCTAGAGAGAGCACAAGTGGGGTCCCTATTACCTCCTCCAGCTCCCTCTGCGAGTGCTGTCAGCACCGGGCTCACAGAGGCCACAGGACCCCTCAATCCAGCATGCTGTTAGCCCCACCCCACTCTTATCTGTGAAAGGCACCCAGCACTTCCAGGACATGTCTACCCTGCTCTCTGTCATTGCTGTGCCAGCTAGAGACTCCTCCAGTCCCTCTACCCATCTTCAGGATCTTGAAAACCGGGGCATAGCCAATGGGTCTGTCTGTGCTGGGATTTTGTCTGGACTTGGGGTGCTAGTCACAGTGGGGTGACCCCTGCATGGAAGCACACCCCCCACCCAAAAGCCAAGTTTCGCTAAAGAGACATGGAGTGCCCCCTGGTGGCAATTAAAGGCTGCAGTCATAATTCTGGCTGGGTCAAGGACACTGAAGGGAGATGGGAACCGGGCTTCAAACCCATGCTTCGCTTGGCTGCAAGAGCTATCATTACCACAAGGACACCAAAAGTCCTTCAGAGTCCCATGCCATGCCATACACCCCAGGGTCACTATATGTCTGGCTTATGGCTACCTTTTCTCCACTCAGGCCAAGACTCAGCTGAGTATGCAGTGGAGACACCATGCTGCCTCCCAGCCAGGGCGATCCTGGGGTCCTCAGTGGGCAGATAGGGACTGAGGACAAGTTAGCTGTACAAATGAGACACAGACAAGAGGGATAAGCATCAAGGGGGCCTCTGAAATCTCATGTGTGCAGGCGGGTCCCCAGAACCACTTCTGTGGGCACTGAGTAGACCCTATGGAGATGACAAATTGGGACTCTTATAGTGACTTAAATGAGACTGTCCCCTACAGGCTCAGATATTTGAACACTTGGTC